AAGGCTGGCAGTTCAAACCCACCAGCCACTCCTCAGAAGGAAGATGGGGCAATCTACTTCCGTAGTGATACTGCCTCGAAAACCCAAGGAGGGGTTGCTGTGAGTCAGGTCTGACTCGACAGCACATAACAACAACAACAACAACATGTACATAGATATAACATATATTAACCTATCATTAGATCTACCCAGCCATTGATTCCTTTACATACTCATTCATTCACTAATCATTCACTTCCTCCTCTATCAATGGAACCATCCATCCATTCATCTGATTTATTTATTCATTAGGTTCAATGACTTGTCTATGGATAATTAATCATTGATTCATTAATTGATCTATTGATCAGTACATCAATACTTAATCCATCCACTGATCTGTTCATTCATCTGAGCCATGAATTAATCCATTCATTGATCTGTTCACTCATCAACCTTTCAATCACAAATTCATCCATCCATTGATTAATGCATTTATTCACTTATTTATTTAGCTGTTCATGAACTAATCTATCGATCTATTCCTCTGTTATACTCCTGAGAACCTAGGACAGTGCCTCACATATAATACACATACAAAAAATACTAGTTTGTTTTCTAGTAATCTTAGAGGGAGAATTTTGACAAAAAGCTCCTGTACAGACAATCTTAAATCCACAAGAATATTTACCCACAAGGGAAAATAAATAGTGATTTCCCCTTTAGACTGAAGACATGCACATGTGTGTGTGTGTATGTGTGAATGTGTGTGTGTGTACTTGTGCATGTGGGGAAAGAATGTGTAACATTTCAAAGGGTGAGAAGTCTTGTTGCTTCCCTCCTCTAACCCCTCTCCAGCTGGTTGTTCTGGGGTGTGTGTGTGTGTCAAGGATCTAGCCCTTTACTGTAGATCCTTTACTTATTGACCCAGGGAAAGCAGTGTCTCCACAGAAATGTCCTTTTGAAACATCTGCTTCAGTGCAGTAGATCAGGAATTCATTGGTCCCTTTTTCTGTGCAGAGAAAGTCCATAAGGAGATCGATCAGGTGATTGGCTCACATCGCCCTCCAGCTCTTGATGACCGAGCCAAAATGCCCTACACTGACGCAGTCATCCATGAGATTCAGAGATTCGGGGATCTCCTCCCCATTGGCATTCCCCACATAGTGACCAAAGACACTCACTTCCGAGGGTACATCATCCCCAAGGTGAGACCTGCTGGGTTCCTGCAACTCTTCTTTGTGGCCTCCTGGGTCTCTGAATCCCAAACCTTGCCCTCTTTTATGACTAAGGTTCCCCTGTGGTTTTTCTTAGATGGGAGCATGAAGGTGGTGACATACTTTGATCTGTTTCTTGTACCCCAACCTCAGGGCACTGAAGTCTTCCCCCTCCTGAGTACTGCCCTCCATGACCCACATTACTTTGAAAAACCAGATGACTTCAACCCTGATCACTTTCTGGATGCCAAAGGGGCACTGAAGAAGAATGAAGCTTTTATCCCCTTCTCTATAGGTAAGCTGGACCCCCACTCCTTTCTCCAAGCACGAGGGTGCTGGTTCCATCCCTCCTCTACACAAACAATGATCACTCACTCACTTACTCACTGCCATCGAGTTGGATCCGACTCATAGCAACCCCTTCTTGGGTTTCCGAGGTGGTATCACTACAGAAGTAGATTGCCCAAACTTCCCATGACAAACAATGATAGGCCTTGTTCACTGAGCACTTATTAGATGCCAGTTATCTCACATTATTCCACCTACAGTATCCCATTCCATTTTTACTATAATCTTAAAGGGGGCTTGAGACATGAGATTATGTCCCAAAAACACATCTTGGTAAACATCACCACCCACCTTTTCAACTAGCAGTCTGTGCCCTGACAGAGCCTGGGTGCTGTAGCCTATGTCCCACAGTTTTTTTTTTTTCATGTTATTTTTTAAATCTTCCTCCTTTCTTCCTTATTTACTCATTTAGTTTTCTCTTTAAAGTCCCTGGCTCTTTTTTATTTTTTTTCCTCTTCCTTTTTCCTAGTTCCCTTTTTTTTTTTATATTTTTTTGGTTCATCGCATCCCTTGTTTTTCCTTTTGTAGTTTTCCCATTTTTTCTTTACTATTCTTTCACTCTTGCTCTTTCTATCCTTCCTCCCTCCCCAGATATTGGGCCTTCCCCCCCCCCTCTTTTTCTCATTAGCTTTCTTTTATACTTTTAAAATATATATACATTTTAAAAAATTGTCTTCTCACTAATAGCTTCTCTTTTTCTTTCTTTGTTTTCTTTTTCTTTTTCTTTTCTTTTCTCTTCTCTTTCCTTCTCCCTCCCCTCCCCCTCCCCCTCTTCTTCTTCGCCATAGTTCTTGTTTGTTTATGTGGCTTGACTTTTCTGTTCTCTTGTTTTTATTTTCTTGGTGGTTTTTAATTAATTAATTAATTTTTGTTTGAGTGGGAGACAATAACCATTCCCACATAATCCAACCATTCCTGACCTCCTGCAGCTCCACCCACATAGTAAGGGCCATCACTTGCTTTTGCACCAACTGACCAATGACAGATGGTGGACAATACCAGCTCAACTCACCCTCAACTGCTCTTTATAAACAGCTAACAGAGATCTCTGCATACACTCTCATTCTCTATCACACCCACCAAGAGACAGGTGATGAGAGCTAACAACTAGCAAACACAGGAGGCTAGTAGCCCACTCACACAGATATTTCAAAACAAAATAAAGGAAAAAAAAAACCTTGGGTGAATCACATCAGCATACTACCACAGATTAAACACAAATACAACAACATCACAATGTCTAAGACACAAATGACCATCTGAGTCTAAACGAAGAAGCAAGATAAAGTAGTAGAAACAAGGGTCTAGGATACAAATCCAGAAAACATCCCTGAGGAAGAGGAAACACTGCAACTCCCTGATAAGGAATTCAAAAGAGTTATGTTTGGGTACCTTCAACGTATTGAGAAACAGATCAAGGAAAACTCTGACAAGATCATGGAAGACACTGACACAATAAAGAAAACACAGAAAAAAACTCTAGAAGAATTTAGGAAAACAATACAAGAACAAATTGACAATACAAACAAAAAATAAGAAATGACACAAAAACAACAAATAGAAATCCAGAAGATGAAAACCAAGGTTTCAGAAATAGATAACACAGTGAATGGGCAAAGGAGTAGAATTGAATCAATGGAAGACAGAATTAATGAGACTGAAGACAAATACCTCAATACCACTTTGTTAAGGGATCAAGCAGAAAAATGATCAAAACAAAATGAAGAAAAACTAAGATTCATGTGGGATACCATCAAGAGGAATAACCTATGTGCAATAGGAATTCTGGAATAGGAAGAGACAAATTAAATCACAGTGAAAACTGTTGAAGATCTGTTGGAAGAGAATTTCCCTAATATAATGAAAGATGAGAATCTACCCATTCAAGAACATCAATGAACCCAACACAGGATAGACCTCAAAAGAAAATCACTAAAATATATCATACTTAAACTTACCAAAACCAAAGATAAAGAATCCTGAAAGCAGTATGGGTAAAGCAAAAAGTTACCTACAAAGGGCAACCAATAAGAGTAAGCTCTTATTTCTTTGCAGAAACCATGCAGGCGAGAAGGAAAGAGAAGTATTTTAACCTCTCTTTGGGTGGTGAGCCCTGGTGGCATAGTACCTAAGGCATCTGACTGCTAACTAGAAGGCTGGTGGTTCAAACCCACCAGCCACTCCTCGGAAGGAAGGTTGGGCAATCTACTAGTGATACCACCTGGAAACCCAAGGAGGGGTCACTATGAGTCAGATCCGACTTGACAGTGGTAAGGTTGGTTTCTTTTTTTGAGTTTGGGTGGTGAAAACAGTTAAACACTTGGCTGCCAACCAAAAGATTGGAAGTTTGAGTTCACCCAAAGGCACCTCAGAAGAAAGACCAGGAAATGTACTTTGGAAAAATCCTCCATTGAAAACCTTGTGAGGCACAGTTTATGTACATGAACTGGAATCAACTTGACTGTAACTGGTTTTTTTTTTTTTTTCAACCTCAGTATATTCATTTGCTTCAAAAACGATTGATGGAGAAACTGAATATTACATACAACTTAAGCAGCAGTAGGACAGGTTAAATAAATTAACACTGTGTGGCCATTAAAATAATCAGGGAAAAACCAAACAATTTGTTGAGCACTATTCTGAACCCAGTGTACTATTAGGGACTGATTATAATACGTGCGACAAGTCACACTCCAGGAAATTCATAGTCCAGCTGGGGGCTTTGGGAATAGAAAGCAGGAAGTACTCAGTAATCTTGAGGGCCCATAGGAAAAGCTTACCTAAGGACTTGACTTCTAAATTAAGACCTTATGGGTGACTATCAGTCAACCTCTGGTAGCATAGTGCCTAAGGCACTTGACTGCTAACCAGAAGGCTGGCGGTTCAAACCCACCAGCCCCTCCTCGGAAGGAAGATGAGGCAATCTACTTCCGTAGTGATACTGCCTCGGAAACCCAAGGAGGGGTCACTACGAGTCGGGTCTGACTTGACGGTACATAACAACAACAACAACAACATCAGTCAACCACTGGATGTTTCGGGCAGAGAGAACAGCAAGGTCCTGAAGGTGGAGACAGCATGGCAATGTTTGAGAAACTATATGAAATCCCATGGGCCCAAGGTATAGATCAGGAACTCTGGTGGTACAATGGTTGAAGCATTCAACCGCTAACCAAAAGGTTTGAACCCACTAGTGCTCCTCAGGAAAAAGATGAGGCAGTCTGCTTCTGGAAAGATTTACAGTCTTGGAAACCCTATGGGGTAGTTCTGGTGGCATAGTGCCCAAGGCAATTGACTGCTAACCACTCCTAGGAAGGATGGTTGGGCAATCTACTTCTGTGGTGATACCTCCTCGGAAACTCAAGAAGGGGTCGCTATGAGCCAGGTCTGACTCAACGGCACATAACAATAACAACAATGGGGCAGTTCTACTGTGTCCTATAGGGTCACTGTGGATCAGAATTGATTTGATGGCAGTGGGTTTGAGTTAGGGTATAGATTAGGGAAGGAGATAAGAGTGAGGAGCTCAGCTGGGAAGGATTTTGAAGACTAGGGGAGGAACTGGGATTTATCCTGGGGGCCCTGGGAAGCCAAGGAAGAGTTTGACATGGTCTGAGTTATCCGTGATCTGACTTATCCGTGGATGTGACAGGACAAAGGACTCCCCATAGCATGTGCACTGTGCCATGCCCACACTGGTGATCTCTCCCTCCTCTGTGCCCACAGGGAAACGGATCTGTCTTGGTGAAGGCATTGCCCGGACTGAGTTGTTCCTCTTCTTCACTACTGTGCTCCAGAACTTCTCTGTGACCAGCCCTGTGGCCCCTGAGGACATTGACCTCACTCCTCAGGAGAGTGGTGTTGGGAAACTGCCCCCCATATACCAGATACAATTCCTGCCCCGCTGAGGGGGCAAGGGAAGGGGTCAAAAGACTCTAGGATCATCTAGTGTCCCCAGCTCTACAGAGAATGGCCCCTCACTCTCTTCAAGTCTTCTTAGCTCTGAGAGACCTGCTGCAAGCCAGTATCCTTCCCCCACCTTGGTTGCTACCTCCATTGGAAAGTCTTTTCTGCCATCTCACTTCCTTGCACCATACTTCAGTTTTTCTCAAGACTCAAGGAGGTCTTTTCCTTTCCTCCTGGAATAGAATTCCAGGAGCTGGAAGCAACCTCAAAGGCCGTCCAACCCCTTCCTTGATGTAGATAAACAAAGTGGGAGCTCAAAGGGGAAACTTGGCTTAGGATCTCTCTGGAATTGTGTCTCCCAGGCCACTGCTCATGCAAGTGACTTGTCCCTTTGCACAGGACAACCCAGCCTCCATTTATCAATTCTTTGTACTCCATGAGCTGTGATAAAGTGCTCTGCATACATGAACTCACTTGAAGCCTTCTCCCAATAACCCTATGTGATAGGCTCAATGCTCATGATCATTCGACAGATGAGTAAACAGAGGTGGAGAATGCCATCAGTTGTCCAAGGGCATGTATCACCAGTGAACAGAGGAGCAAGATTCACATGCTGCCTTCCTGGCTCTAGAACGCCAACTTCGCAGCTTCTTGAACAGGGAATAGTCATTCTTAGCTGCCTCTGCTTACTTGTTCACTTATGAAAGGTCTTCCTCAGCCCCGTGCCTCCTGAGTTGTATGATTCAGGTGTCCTGTCCTCTCTGATACTCATCTCAAACTCCGTGAGAATCAAATAAACATCCAAAGCTTGGCACGCCTGAGCCAAGTGGTGATCTCTGCTATTTTTCATGTGATTTATTTATTATCAGGTCCCCAGGGACCTAAGACACCTCTCCCTCATCTCCATGGCCTTGTCTTGTTCATCCCTGTACCTTCAACACCTGGGGCAGTGCATGACCTAGGACAGGTGTTCAAAATATTTGCTGGGGGAATGAATGAATGAATGGTTAAATCAGTCCCCCATAAACCCAAAATGGAACTAGAGTCCCCCAGCAAACCTTGTCTCCTTTTCCATATCTCACTCTCTTCTGATGTCCAAAATAACCCGTTTGCCAGTGGGCACAGGATGCCCCCAATTCTGCCTGCCAGCTAGGCTTGATCCCTCATGCCGCCATGCTACCCTCTGACAAAACTGAGTGAGAGCCACCTGTTCAGGGAAACCACCTTAAGCCAGCCTCCATTCATTCCACCAGCTGGCATGACCACCCTTTCTTGAGGGAAGTACTATCCAGTCAAGGTCACTGCCCATTGAGATGGCTACCGTCAGCCAAATGGGAAGCTGCCTTTGTGCCTCAACCTGGAGATGCTAAACTTCCTGGCTTCTACAGCACCTGCCACCTTTAGGCTCCTGTGAGCTCTGAAGAGTTCCCATGAGCTCTGTCAAAGTAGATATTTGGCATGGCCTCTCCCCTAAACTGTGGAAAGAAAACAACAAACAGAGCAGTCTGCCTTTAAGAGGGGACAGAATGGAAGGAAGGATGGAAGGCAGGTACATGGAGGACCATGATGCTCTTGGTCTTCCCACTCCTCTTTATCCTCATCGGCGTCTTGTTACTCTGGGTTTGGGGATGCCACACCTGTAAGGGCCACTTCCTGCTTGGACCCTTGCCTCTGCCCTTTGTGAAGAACATGTTGCAAATAGAACACACGGGCTTTCTCAGTTCCTTCCAGAAGGTGAAATGGTGGAGAAGGAAGGAGTGGGTAGGTGGAATCAGAGCTCACAGGCAGGAAGACAGGAGTTTAACTTTGGGTGGGACTTCTTCTGGACACAGCCTGGTCCAATATGCCCACCAGTGAAGCTTCTGGAATTTCTATGAGACAAGGTAGACTGGAGAAGGAAATTCTGGCAGACCTGAGCCTTTGAGTTGGAGTGGCGAGTGGGGCAAGAAGTAGCTGGAGATTAGATGTAGGGACTCTTTGTAATTCTTAAAATTCAAAGGTGGGAGGAAAAATGAGAGATGAGAATACTTGGGGCAAGAGGGTGAGTGGAAGGCCTGGTGGAAGCCACCAAGTGGAAGCCCCCCTTCTTCCCCGATGGAGCTAAATAGGAAGGTGTGATCCAGGTCTGAGAAATGCAAGACCAGCCCTTCTCTTGAGTTAGAGACAGATCTGCACCCTGTCCCCACAGCTGCAAAAGAAATAAGGGGATGTGCTCACTCTCTACCTGGGCCCCAGCCCACCATCATCTTTTGTGGGTTTGAGGCAATTTGGGAGACCCTGGTGGATCAGGCTAAGGCTTTCTCAGGCTGAGGGCACACTGGCACCCGTGACCTCACCTTCTAGAAGAGTAAGGGGCGAGTAGGGGCTCTAGACCGAGCAAGTGAGTACGCAATCTGCCCTCCTAACCTTCCCTCTGTGGAACTTCTCCCCAGCCAAGTGTGGCCTTCACCAATGGAAAGACTTAGAAAGTCCTTTAGCAGTTCTCTCTGGCCACCATGAAGGGATTTGGGATGGGGAAGCAGAGAACTGAGGAGCAAATCAGGAGAAGGCACAGTGTCTGGTGGAGGAGCTGTGGGAACCCAAGGGGAGCCCCAGAAAGTGGGGCTGGGACTGGAGGGGCAGGCAGGTGGTCAGTGAGATGAAGACAGAGAAAGGGCAAGAGACAAAATGACTGATAGAAAGACACAGGGACAGTGAGAGATACAGAGAGAGGTTCAGGGAGAGAAAGGCAAGTGAGACAGAGACTGAAAAAAGAGAAAGAATGAGGGAGATGGAGGGACACTAGGGGAGATGGAGGGAGAGAAAGCTGGCAGAGAGAGAGCCGAGGACACAGACAAAGATCTAGCAAGAGACACTTGGAGAAGAAGATTGAGAAATAAACACGTGAAGAGAGAAACAGAGGCCAGGGAGACACAAAATGGCAGTGAGGCAGAGGAGGGGAGGACACAAAGCAGAGTGGGGATGAAGTGACAAAGAACTGAGAGGAAGGGACTGAGTCTCAAAGAAAGAGTCTTTGTTGTTGTTATGTGACTTGATGGCACATAACAACAACAACAACAACAACAGGGAAGCAGATGCCCGGGGAGGGAAATAGATGCAGAGAAACCAACAAGATACGCTCAGCTGGCTCCAGCCAGACCAGGGTCGCCCAGAGGTCAGTGCAAGGGACCCCTCCCCCCTGTGACAGACTTCTGGTCCTCAGGGGCCTATCTAGACCCTACTTTCCTCTTTCACCCCATTACAGCCAACATTATCTGCTCCTTCATCTTTGGTGAGCACTGTCATAAACAAACAACAACAACAAAAACAAACGTCGAGTTGGACCCGACTCATAGCGACCCCTCCTTGGGTTTCTGAGGCAGTATCAGTACAGAAGTAGATTGCCCAACCTTTCCTCTGAGGAGTGGCTGGTGGGGTTGAACCGCCAGCCTTCTGGTTAGCAGTCAAGTGCCTTAGGCACCACGCCACCAGAGCTCCTCTTTCATCACCAGGACTCCAAATTCTTATGGCTACAGTCACTGAACAATGCCTTCGCCTTCCTCAGCTCCTTCTCTAACCAGCTGTGAGAATGGCATGGGGGTGGCGTCTGGCCACCTCTAAGTTCACAGAGGAGGAGACTCAAGATCAGCAGCTGATTCCTATGAGGTGGAGGTCAGCTATGCCTTCACCATTCAACCTTTTTGCCAATTCTGACACCAAATCTGACACGCCAGGACGTGTCCCCCATGGCACTTTCTACTACTCACCTGGGTTCAGTAATTCATTGTAACACCCACAAAGAACTCACAGATGATACTTATGATCGTGGGGTTTATTATGGAAGTAACAGTTACAATTCAGGACCCTGACACTCAGGATACAGTTCTTTGATTGGGACAACCTCCCCTCAGCTGTGCCCAAACGCAGGTCTCTCTCTGCTCAAGCAAATGTTAGAAAGCTCTTTTATTTCTGCCATTCAATGCCTAGAGGCCCCCTGCTCCATCAGTAAGCCTCTTCCCAAAGGCACTGAGCTTTCCTACTCGGTGGGTCGGTGAGTCCAGCTCTTTGGCTCCCAGAGGCAACGTACTCTGCCAGCCAGCCTCCCGCTCTGAGGCACTCAGCCAGGAAGCCCATTTGGTCTCCTCCCAATCTCCTCCTGGTCTCACAGTTCTGCTGCTTCTGTTGCCACTTCTTCTTGCCCTCTGTGTCACAGCTCTCTGTCTCCTGGATCGAGGAGATTCATCACAGGTATCTTGAGTCCAAAAGACAAGCTCCACTCTTGGCTCTTCTTTCTTGAAAACCCAAAAAAAAACCCCCAAAACCAAACTCACTGCCATAGGTTGATTCTGACTCATAGCAACCCCCATTGGGTTTCCAAGGTGGAAGCAGATTGTCCCATCTTCCTTCCATGGACCTTCAACCTTCTGGTTAGCCGGGAAATGCCTTAGGCACTGGGCCACCAAAGCTCCTTTGTTTCTTGTAGGCAGTGAGATATCCCCTTCTTGCCTCTGGGATGCCTCAGTTTGAGGCCTAGCAAACTGACCAATCCCCACCTTGGGGTTCTGTGGTAGTTGTGTTTGTGTGTCAACTTGGCTGGGCCTGGTTGAGTGGCTGGGCAGCTTGTGGTAGTTATTCCCCATGATGAGACTGGCAATCAACTCCATGATGGGATCTACCATAAGCAGCTGAGTAGCTGCCTTTGGGATGTGGTCTGCTTCCCATATATAATCAGCAGCTTTGGGAATGGTCTCTAGCCTATGGCACGCTTGGACTCTGCATGTAGCTGTGTTGTTGTTTAGCAGCCTGCCATGCTCTGCTGACCTTGGGACTTACAATAAACTTGAATTGATGGCCTGCTGTGTAGTTTGGTAACATCGGGACTGTGCCTTTTTACTTGTCAACCTTGGGCTTCTCAGCCTCAGCAGCCAGCAGCTGTGTGAGTGAAGAAACGCCTCTAGCTCCAGTGGGCCAGGAGCAGGAGGCAGAGCTGGACCCCAAGGTTGAGGGGCTTTCACCCAGCCCC